ACATCAAGCACAAGAAAAAATGATGCAATAAAGAGATGCTGTAAACACAAGATGCATGAGGCCACTGCGGGTGTAAGACGGCATACTGTTTCACAGCTAACTTTCTGTAAGTAGAAAAAGTATACTCTAAAATAAAGGTAAAAAGGATAATATAGTAAATATACAAACCGGTAACAGTCATTGTATTATCAAGTATTATGTACTATATGTAATTGTATGTTCTATACTTTCATACAACTAGCAGTGCAGTAGGTTTGTTCATACCTCCATCACCACAAACACATGTGTAAGGCGTTGTGCTCTGACTTTATGGTATCACTAGGTGACAGGAATTTCTTAGCTCCATTATAATCTTATGGGTCCACCATCATGTATGTGGTTTGTGGTTAGTGGAAATGTCATTGTGTGGCACCTAACTGCATCCTCAGGGCCCTCTGCCCAAAATGCTCATCCCACCTGCTCTTTCCATGGCTGACTCACCCTTCAGGTCTCAGCCTGATTCAGTTAGGTTCTTAGCTACAAACAACAGAATCTGCACTGCCTGGGAAAGGACCTGATTAATTTATGGAGCACACAGAAGCTCCAGGAAGAGCAGAGGCCAGATGTGGGTGCAGCTCTGCTGGTGCTCTAGTGAAAATCCACTGCTGCCGCCACCGCTCGCCACCCACAGTCTTCGGAAATAAGGCCTGGGTGCCAGAAGCTCTGCCTCTGGTCCCCCGCCCCCTCACCACCTTGGAGCCACAGGTGGGTGCATTTCCTCCTTTCATCTTGCACAAAAAATGGCGAGTCTTTCCAACTCCATCTTTCAGGTTGAAGTTATGCATGGCTGTGCCTGATTGGAGGGGCCTCGGTCACATGCAGAGGCAAGCTTCTCATAGGAAATTCCTCAGACGTTTCACGGGTGTTCGAAAGTGAACACTTGGTATCTTGTTTCCTCAGCATAAAGGCCCTCTCTGACAGCCCTAAGTATGTATGTCTTCTTGCCACCAAGGCCCTATTGTCCTTTCACTGTAGTCTGTTACTGTCTTCAAGGCATTTATCACAACTTACATACTTTTTTGTTCAAGTGCCTTGTAAGTCCTGGAGCCAGAGTCTAGTCTCCACATGGAGTTTCATCCGACAAGTGTAATTCAAACAGCCAAATATACTTTTTTAAATCCTCACCCAAGGACGCGTTTATTGATTTTAGAGTGAGAAGAAAGGAGAGAGAGGGGGAGAGAAACATTGATATGAGAAACATTGTTTGTGGTTGCCTCCTGTACATGCCCTGACTGGGGACAGAACCAGCGACCTAGGTATGTGCCCTGACTGGAGATTAAACCCAGAACCTTTAGGTGCACAGGACACCACTCCAATCAACTGGGCAACCCGGCCAGGGCCAAAAAAGCATTTTAAATGTGCTTTAGTCTTTAGTGGTCTCTTGGAAGAGGAAAAGCATCAAAGGGGCTCCAATCACAGTTCCCAACAGTTCCCATAGGTTCGTATTCCCTTTTCTCTTTCATTCTTTCCAATGCTTATGTTGATTGATACAACTTTTCTCTTCACAAACCTTGCTCCTTGGGCTCTCCTTTGAAATGTTTCCTGCCTGTTCTCTTCTTTTGCATCACAAACATTCAGAATTGATTTGAAAAATACATTATCAGGGGAGGCAGGGCATTTGAGAGGCGAAGTCTTTATCTGACAGGAGACCAGGAACATTTACACATTGACCATTTCAGTTCACCACTTGTAGGTGACCTCCAGATTATGTTTTATGAGGACAGGGAAAATATCTGTTCTATTGGCACCTAACACAAAAATCTGACAAATACATAGTTAACGCTTGTTTTCTGGAGTTGGAGGGCGCGGGGGGAAGGGACAGTCCACCAACTGAGGTCAGGACAAGGAAACACGCAGCAGAGAGCAGGGACTCGGCCTGGTGAAGGGCAGGGGCGGATGTGCAGCGAGTAGTGCTGGGCTGGGAAGGCCTCCTGGAGAAGGGGAGGCCAACACAGAACCTTAAAGGGCAAGAATTCACGAAAGGAGGCGGTGAGGGCAGAGAAGAGTGTTCCAGGTCGAAGTATGGCACAAGCACAGATGACAAACAGTTTGGGGTGCTCTTGCTAAATGAGAAGTAGCAGAACTGTCAGGAGGTGAGGCTGGAGGGCCAGAGGTGGGCATGCAAGGCCGGGTACACCATGCCACGGAGGTGGGACTTGGTCCTGGGGTGATGGAGCCAGTAAGTGGGGTGGGGAATCCTTCTCAGATTTTCATTTAGAGAGATTACTGTGTGGCAGTGTGAGGTTGGATTTGAAAGCGGTATAAGAAAAAAATAGAATAATTACAAAGCAAAATAATGGAGGCTGTAATAGAGATAAGTAGTTAGGTGTAATTTTAAAAATTTATCTGGAGGTCACGTTGGCAGAACTGGATGGGTGATTGGATTGGGGACAGTGAGGGAGGAATCTAGACTAGTGTCCAAACTTCTCAGTTGGATGATGATGTCATTAACTGGGGGAGAATACACAGGAGGAGTCCGGGGCTGGCAGTGGTGGGGAGAGGGGGGAGATTTCCAGTTCACTTCTGGTGAAGTTGACTTTACCTGTAGGACTTCTAGTTTGGGGGGTCAGCAGATACTTGGATATATGCCTGCAGCTTAAGCAAAGGCCAGGGTCAGAGATAGGGACCGAGGAGGGAGCAGCATGGCGGTGGGTAATGAGTTCAAGAGTCAGCTGTGTGGGCCCTGGCCAGACAGCTCAGTTGGTTGGAGCATTGTCCCAATATGCCATGGCTGGTCAGGGCATGTGCAGGAAGCAACCAGTGAAGGCATAGATGAGTGCAATGAGTCGATGTTTGTTTCTCTCTCGAATCAATTAAAAAAATATTTTTTAGAAAGAGTCAACTGTGCCCTGATGGCTGATGTGGCTCAGTGGATTGAATGCCAGCCTGCGAACACAAGTGTCGCCAGTTCGATTCCCAGTGAGGGCACACGCCTGTGTTGCAGGGCAGGTCCCCAGTAGGGGGCGCTCAGGAGGCAACCACACATTGATGTTTCTCTCCTTTTCTCCCTCCCTTCCTCTCTAAAAACAAATCAATAAAATCTTTAAAAAAAGTCAGCTGTGGGGTGCACTGGGAACAACTGCTATTCTCGGGGCGTCATTTGGCCATGTGTACTTTCCCTTCCTCTCTCACTTGTACTTCTCTTACCTCTGACCATCCCTTCTCCAAACGCTCTGCAGCCTCTTCTTCTCCCCTAAAATGTGGTGGTCTCAGGTGATTTCCCTACCTGAGTCCCCTACTGTGCATCTATCAAAGCTCTATCTCCAGTCCAGAATTCTTATGTGAGATTAAGACCCATGAGCCCAACCACCTTCTAAGAGAGAGGAGGAAATCAGCCCTGGGACTGACGGACTGAGGGACCACACAGAGGGCTGGTGGCTCTCTGTCCTGCGTACACCGCCCATTTACTGGTCTGGAACAACCTACCCCAAAAGGGGGGCTGAATTGCACTTGGCTGTGGCTATTTCTTGTTCCTCTGAAAACATCACATGTGGAGGTCAGGGACTAGAATTCAGATCTGTTAACATGCATTAATATGTGCCACTCCTCCCCGCCCCAGCTTTAACCCTGCATATAACTTTCTCAGGGTTAACTCTCATTTTATGCCTAGTGTATTGCTTTCTTTTCACCAGGAATCAATATCAACCCAAAATGGAAATAGAATTTAAATCTTATTGATATACAGGATCTAGCACAAATAACGCTCCTATTTTTAATTACAAAGTCTTTTATTACAAAGTCATAAGCAAGTAATTCTGTAACATAACAATATCACACTCAAGCATATTACATGACATTTTAGGTGAAACGTTCACATTAAAAATATAAATTATTACACCCATATTATTATCCTACTAACCACACTCAAGCAGGCGTTACTTACGATGGACCCTGTAGAATAAAAATAATTTTGTATTATAAAAGAGGAAAAATAGTTTACATGGATCTGTTTCTTTAAAACGAAAATCACAACTCTTATTTGGTAGTAAAGGAGCGCTTTTTATTCCAGAATACCTCCTTCAGTGTCACCGCCTCAATGAAGAAAGGACTCTGAGCCCGTCAGCAAACCACGCCATGACACAATTTTTATGTAGAGAAGTTGGTTGAAACATAAAACCAGTATTATGATAAATTCACTTTAAAATGTTTTCCACATCCACTACTTAAAACTAGTTACACCAGTATGATCTTCTACTCCCAAGGAGTACAGGGACGATCTTGGACTTGATTAGAAACATTGAAAACACACACACAAAACCACCTGTGTGGTCTAGGGCAAGGCTTCCTGAGTTTGTCTGGTGTGATGGGCTGACCACCAATTGTACGAGAGTTCGCCTGCAGCTGCAGTGTAGGCCTTCAGCATCCTTCCGTTGTGAGCTTTGGGATGATTTCTGCACTATGAAATCCCCTTGAACATTTCACAGAAAAAGTTAAGGAAGTTTCAATTATTCTACCTTGAAAATTGAATGTCCTGAAATTTTCACAGAAGACATTAAGAAAGTTTCAGGTATTCCAGAAGCCACTGGAATAAATCATGCCTCTTCTAACAGGTTAACTGTTCAGGAATTGTCATGTGCTTGGTCATCACCTGCGTGAGCTGCACTAAGTGGCCCTCAGCCCCTGGCACTTGTCATTGCAGAATCAAGGGAGCCAGGTCGAAGAGTGAGAAATGCTGTTGCATAATAATGAATTAGGGCTCAGGTAAACTGGGTACTTTTTGTTAACCTCTGGCTTATCAAGAGTCAGAAGGACTCATCTCAACTTGCATATACACCCTCAGTGTGAATACTGATAGATGCATAAGAACATAGTCATTTCTGTCCTTCACAGAGTACTCACGACTTCGACAAGAAAAGTCACAAGTTTATGTAAATGTCCATTTTCATACCAATTTATGAACTCAAAATTTCTTTTGAAAAGAATAGGAGATACTGATTTTAACCATCAGTTTTGGATAGGAGTACTTCTGACACCCATAGGAAATTGTAATGGTGACTCCCCAAGACTTTAAATTCCTCTTACGTGTTTATGACATTTTTTCCATCATATATTAAATTCTGCCCATCCTCAGATTACTATTAACAAAATATCTTTAAATGATTTGTGTGTGTATACATTAAGTGTAACCTTATTAAATTAATATTTTACTGTTTTTGATCTGTGAAAAGTTTTTTCACATGGTTGAAGCTAATAAAATCTGAACTTTAGTTGAATGTTTGTATCTCCTTATATATGTGCTGTGTGATACTTTCTTTTACTTCAGCAGGGAAGATGAAGATGCTCGCTTTAGTTGCCAGTTCTTACACAGCCTTGCAAAGCTGTGCTTGCTGATGACTGGTGAATTTCATGAAAATATTTAGAGGTCTAGTAAATCAGTATCTGACCAAAAAACATCTGTTCCAACTGGACATACTGTCTTTAATCAAGTCTAGAATCAGCAGACTGAAAACCCAGGCCTTTTTATTGGGATTCTGTATCTGCGTTCTCAACAGAGCGCCCACCCTGAAACCCCGTGCTAAGCACCAGTAAAAGAGATATGCCCCACAGACCTTGCTTTCAAGAGACTTTCCTATGATTCAAGAGATAGAAAAATATAAATAACAATAGGATATCCTAAGTGTTTTAAGTTTCAAATGGGAACAGAGTAAAATGTAAAAAGAAGACAGCACTTAGGGAGTTTTCAAGTGACTTCAAACACTAAGGGCAAAAACACGAATATTTATAAAAGTGCACCTCGTTTACATTCAGTCACTGTGCTAACTAAAAGTTTTCCTCCAAGAAGTCCTCCAAGAAGTCCTTTTGTTACCCCAGAAGCAGTGACTAGAGATCCTCTAGGTCAGTTAAATCCACAGCCACTTTCAAGAACACGGTGTCGTCTTTAATGTAGGTGCTCTTGGCATTCTCCAAAGTGGAGTGAGGCACGAAGCGGGGGCAGCCAGACGCAATGTTCATCTCCCCGTCGGGTCTTTTAAAGCTGCTGCTGTTGGGGTCTGCCTTGAAGGTCTCGACAATGTGGTTCTTTTTGCCACTCTGGTCCAACAGCATCAGGGTTACCCTCTGCCTGAATGGCCACTGCAACAGTGAGTCAAACTCCCCTCGCATCACCACAAAGTACAGCGACAGGTGCGTCCCCTTCCCAGAGCCGTCCCCGTTAAGGTACGCTCTAGCGCAGAGCCGGTAGCCACATCGGCTGGTGTAGAAGGGCTGGCTGAAGATGGATACCGTGTGTCCGTCCAGCGCCTCTTTCTTCCTCACTTTGTAGTCAGTCACCTTCCAGATGAGCTTTCCATTATAGCAGGCACCTTCCAGCAGTCTAAATCGCTCTTCATTTCGATTCAGCTGTGCTTTATGGCTGTTAATGTGGGCGTCATGTTTGTGCGTCTCCCCTTCCAAAACGACTGCAAAGAAAAAAAGAAAAAGAGTCTGTGGGCCGGAGCTGTGTTTAGAATTTGCTCACAGTGGACTTTTGTTAATCGGAAAAGAACCAATAATCCTGACATCCTAAAGATGAAGTGAATTATATGTCCACCAGCAGACAGCAGACCATCGGCATTATCAGCCCAGTGAATCTCATGTCTTGGCAAGAGCGGCACCAAGAAAACTCGAATGTGTCCTCTTGAACTGAAGCTCACCCATGTGTAAAGAAGACACACTCCACATTCAGCTAACGTGTGTTTGCATGGTGAGCCCCGCAGTTTTCAAACTGCGGCACTTTTCCCTTTTATGTTTTTCTGTATAGGTACACCTTATTCTATTCCACTTTGTTGGCCTTTGCAAGACATCGTGTTTTTACAGATTAAGGTGTGCGGCAACCCTGTCTCGAGCAAGCCTGTCGGTGTCATTTTCTTATCAGCATTTGCTCACTTCCTGTCCTGTGTCACATTTTGAGAATTCTTGCAGAATTTCAAACTTTTTCATTATATTTGTTATGGTGACCGTGACTGGTGACCTTTGATGTTGCTAGGGCAAGACCCTTCACCAGCACAAATATCAGATGATGGTTATCATTTCTTAGTGATAAAGTCTTCTTTAATTAAGGCCTGCACATTGGTTTTGGTTTCGTTTTTTCTTTTTAGATAATTCTATTGCACACTTCATAGACTATGGGGTAGTATAAATATAACTTTTATATGCATTGGGAAACTAAAAATATCTGTGACTCCCTTTATTGTGATATTTGCATTACTGCAGGGGTCTGGGACCAAATCTACAATATCTCTGAGGGGTGCCTCCACTTAAACCAATGTTCCCACCATATCTCTTTCTTAGGTTTAATATTATTTTCCACTCTTAATTAAAAGCCGTCATTTCTTTGTTTTTGGAATTTCCTGGCCCTTTTCTATCCTTTCCCTCTTCCAGCCCCAACTCACGGCTCTTCATAATTTTTGTCTGAGTAGCCAGAATATCATTGCTGTTCTGTTTCACAAATGCCAGATTCACCCTTTATCCTGGACAGCTGTGACTCTCCATTTGTCCGGGTGTTTGCTTGTTTCATGAACACATGCAGACAGACGAGTCACCAAAAAAGTATAAAATATTGGACGTACCTAATCTTTGATCATTACTTTCTAGCAGGGTAATTTTCTGTTGCACTGTATCAATCGCGTCCATCAAAGGCCTCAGATCAAGTTTATTTTGTTGCTGGCTTGCCATTTGTAATAAATGACGCACTTGAGCTTCTAGCCAAGTCGACTTGTCAATGTGACTTGCAAGAACCTTTCAGTACAAAATGATATTAATATCTTAGTAATTAATTGAGATTACATTTTTTCAAACTCAAACATTTCACATTTACTTAATCAATTAATGAAACAAAAACTACATAGTCCAGAGTAGAAAATGAAGATTGCAAGAGAGATTACCACGCATCCTCCTCCTGTCTATCCCAGGTCCCGTTCCAAATCTTTGAACTTCTCTTCATCTGATTTTTAACTCCTTCCTCAATTTCTCTCCACTTGGTTCTCTATCTTTAGGTATCTATCCTCCTGTTGTCTCACCTCTTGCCTTACCACCTTACCACTGCCTTCTCTTCTGAGAACTGCTCTCCTGATTCGCTTCTGCTCTGCTAGAAGGCAGAGAACGAGCTGGAAGTCAGCCCACTTGCTCCGGCCTGGGCACTACAGGTGGTACACAAGTGCCCTGAACTTCCGATGGCTCCCTTTAAATGGAGATTAAATAAAGCTACCACTACATTTCTCCTCCACCCTCACCCTCACTGCCTTAACTCTGATTGCTCTCTCACTGTGTTAGAAAAAGATCAGAATTAAGATAGTAACATGTAATGCATTTCCTTTTCTTTTGACGCATGCGGGCGAGCGCACGTACACTCTCACACAGTGTGCTGACACAGTATGCAAACTATACGACCCCCATCTTCTTGGATCCAAATTTTGCCCATATCAAGTCTTGAAATCTTTTTCACTATAAATTTTAGAGTCACAATAAAGACATAATTCATTAGGAATCTATTTATGGTTATTTCACACTCATGATTTATAAATAGCTTTTGCTATATTTGAGTGGTGTTTAAAGCATTTTCTTCCCAAGGGAATTAATAGTTTCACTTTGTTGACTATAAAATGCAGGATTATAAATGCTCTCAATGAATCTGAACTCAAGTGACTAATATTGGCCCAACATTAATGAAAAACCTAACTGCCATAAACTATATAAAAGTATTATATCAATGTTAAATTTACTGACATTGCTAAATGTACTGGGGATATGTAAAAGAAGATCTTTATTCTCATGAAATAGACCCTGACATATGTACAGGTAAAATGCCATAATAAAGGCAGCCTATTCTCAAATGATTCAAAAAGAACAGAAAGAGAGAGAATGAACAAACGAATGAATGAATATGAATGATGAAGCAAATGGGACAAATTATTGGCAATTGGTGAGTCTGGGTGGAGAATATACAGGTGTTTTTGCACTACCTTATTCTTGCAGCTTTTCTACACATTTGAAATTATTTCCATTTAAAAAGTTTTAAGAGAAACCCTGACTGCCAATTGCAGGCTAAATCTTGACTATGGATAGAAAAGTCATTTCTCACCTGGATATTTGAGAGGAAGCTTCCATTTTTGCCAAAGAGCTGTGCAAACTGCTTGAACTCCTTTTCAAATGTCTTTACAGTTTCTGCTAGCTGCTGGATTTTACTTTCCTTCTGTTCTAGGCTCTTATGTAAGTCAGAAATCTTAAAAACAGAGATGTAAATGAGATCACTTAAGTGCATGCATGCCAATGAAAACAAACGTAGTTCTAGAAGAATATTGTAGGTAACAAAGTGTTTCTAGGAAACTATATATATATATATATATATATATATAAATATATATAAATATATATAAATATATATATATTTCTAGAAAAATATTTACAGGTAGATTCCTATATAATTCTAGGAAAATACTTGCAGGTGCTTTGGAAAAAACCTGATCCACAGATTTCTCATCAGCCCTTTTTATACTTAACCTGCTGTGATGGTTCATTTGATGATACTGACACCACTTGACTGACCTTACTAAGCTGGTTCTCTTCATTCACTCAGTATGCACTCACTAAACAACAACAAAGTACTAATCACCATACCACATTGAATATTACGTGCATAGTATCAGTGTAATAGCTGAAATTTGTAGAATATCTATCGTACCCTTATATTCATTAACTCTTTTATCCTCAAAGAACCCTGTGAGTTGGGTATGAATATCAGTCCCATGTTACAGATCACAAAACAGAGTTTAAGTAATCTGCCCAGCATAGAGCTAGCCAGCGGTAGTCAAAACATGCTACTCTCTCAGAATTTGTAATCTATTTGAAAGAAATAACCAAAAACCTAAGAGAGAGCCTAGGCAACTCTTCTCTCAACCTCACATCCATTCATTCGCAATACTTGCCAACTTTAACTCCTAACACATAACAAAACAAACAAAACAAACAAAACAACTCTTACATTCTTTTCTCATTTCATCTCATTTTGTTTCGGCACTCGTTTTGGCCTTCATAACTTCTCACCTGGACTGTTACAACAGTGACCTGGCGGTCCTACACCCTCCCCCAAACACGCCCAGATGGGCAGCTCTCTGGGAGCCTGGACTGGCATGGATTTCTCAGGCTACTGTAACCCCAGCGACTGGCGCCTGGCACCAGTAGGTCCTTGATAAATATTTGTTGAACGAACGAACGAACAAACGAAAGAACACACGCTCCCCCTGTCTTCAGTCTTGTTTCCCCCAATGCATCCTTCATATGGTGTCCACAACACTATGAAGAGACAGATCTGGTCTTGTCGCTCCCCACTTACTTAATTTTGGTGGCCTTTTACCAGCCATCCAGAGCCCTCCTACATGGTCTGCCCCTGGCTGCCTTTCCAGCCTCATGCCCATTCACATCCCACGTGTGCCCTGCCCAGCACAACTACACAACTTCTACTTCCCATCAGGCCTTGCTCTCTCAGACACTTCCTCCTTCACCTAGAAAGTACTGCTTTCTAAGCCTCCACTCAAGAGCACATCCTCTCAGAACTATTTCCTTACTAGGACCACCTACCCAGGCCATCTCTCCAGTTCCATGACACCCTGACTATACTCTAGTGTATAACTTACCCTCATTTCCTGTGTTGCTTTTGTTTGGTTATTTAGGTCTTTTTTTCTTCACTAAATGGTTGAGGCTACATCCCACTTATTTATTTATCCCCTAAGCCTCACGCAGTGCCTAGCACACAGAGGGCATCCGATCCCCGTTTGATGAACGAATGTACAAATAGCTGCAACAATCATCTGATCTCTGGCCCAGAATCCTCTATTAAGACCCTGAGAGCTGACTTCCACCTACACACCAGACATACTTCCTTGAACAAAAGCAAATCCAGAAGGCTTCCAACGCTCATGTCTAACCTGCCCCCGAACATTGCCATGTTCCTTGCCTTCTCAGCCAACAGCATCCCAGGGCAAACTCCGAGCGCTTCCCAACGCCGTTCTTCCTTCCCTGCTGACGCAGCCTTGTCTCCACCGTCGCCATCGCCTCCTCCAGCATCCTGCCTCCACCTAATAACTCAATGCTTATGTTCCAGCCACTGTGCTAAGGGCTTAACTATGTCATCTCATTTATTCCTCACCACAGCCCATTTCACACATGAAGGAACTAGGGGAGAGTGAGATTAAGTAGCATCTCTGAACTCACATGCCTAGTGTGGAGCCAGCCTTGGAACCCAGGCATTCAGACCCCTCGCTTATCAGCTCCCCGCTCTGCTGCTGCGCCATCTGGTTCACTGCGACACCCTTCTGCCTAGTCCCTCTGTCCACATTCTTGTCTCTCTGTCTATCCATCTTCCATGCTACTGCCAACTGTCTTACTTTTCAAAACCAAACAACTGGCCGGCCAAGTATTTTTCCAATTTAAAGCCTTCATTAGCTCCCTATTACTGACAAATATTAGTTCAAACTTTTGGCCCTTAAATCCTTTCTGAAATAAGGCAGACTATTAATGAGTAAAAAAAAAAAAAAAAAAAAATTGGATGCACAATGTTCACAAAATGTCTTAGCTTACACGGAAGGCCACTGCCATCTGCATCCAACAGACAGACGGCGGCCATTCCCTGTCTCCCACTCGAGTGTCTCTCCACCCCAAAAGCACATTTACTTGAACCCTCGGCCTCTCTCACGCCTCTCTGCCTTGGCACCAACTTTCCCCTCTGGAATGTCCTCTTCCCACAACATTTTAACTGACAGGCCTTCTCTTCCTTCAAGATGCAGCTCAGATGTCCTTCCCCAACGCCCTGGAGTAAACTAATGCAGCCTCTGAACCCAGACATGGTCCCGTGTCTGGGACCCATGCCATGGGACATGCTATACCTCACAGCCACAGAATCTGTACATTTTTCTGTGTTCTCCAAGGCTAGAGACTGTGTCTTCCTCAACTCAGTGTTCCTAGCAATTAACATGGTAGTTGACTTAGGTAAGGTGTTGGTTAAATAAATGGATGGGTGAATGAGGCAATGATACAGAAAGAACTTGGGAATGGTTACTAGACAGCATGGCTTCTACCGAAGTTACAGTTTAATAAGTCTAATTTTCTCCAGGATCTGACCCCAGAACTCATACCCCTACTTTAATCTGGAATCAGACATTATAGAATAATCAGCAGCAGAAAATTCAGCTCCTTCTCTGCAGAAGGATAGTTTTCTTCCTCATGTGGGCTTGAAAAGTATGATCCTCTGAGATGCTCTAAAAAATATAATTAACTTTTATAATAATTACTCAGTAGAATCAGCACTTGCACATATTCTTTCACTTGAAAATTACAACTCAGTGAAATAAATATGTACGTAGGCATTTATCCAATTGCAAAGCTTCTCAAAGGCAGGAGTGAGGACTTAGTAAAAAATATATAAAATCCATAGGCCCAGAATAGATTGTCAACTGTTGTTCTATGAAAATATTGATTTAATTTTCAAACTTCAGATATCTACCAGGCACCTACTAGGTGCCAGGTCTTATTAGCCAAAGGTGTGTGGAGAGGCAGCAGACAGGCATGACGGCAGCACACGGGGAGCCCTGGACTGTAAACCAGGGGCATGGGTTTGAGATCGAATCCTGACACAAGTGACAAACACATCAGAATGTCTTCGACTTTAGTCTCTTCAGCTGTTGACTCAGGATCTCAAAGGCTCCTTTCGCTTCTAACAGTCTACAATCCCATCCCTCTGTCTGGCCACTTAGTAGAAAAACAGCTACCTCCCATTGACTGCTACTGAAAGAGAATATGAGAATACCAAAGGTTGCAGATCCCAGCAATTCTGCTGCCTCCCTTTGTATTTGAACCCTTGGAAACTTATTTACCTGCTTTTCTAATTGGAAGTTCTTTTCTAAAACGAGAAGCAAGTGGTCCCGTAAGGCTGAGTTCTCATGCTGCTGCAGGTTCCCCTGTTTACCCTTCGGGGTGAAGAGAACAATAAGTCAGGTGGTTGAACGTCTCCCAAAACGAGGATGGTAATGGGCTACTCTGCAAAAGCAGAACTTCAGCAACTTTGCTTACTTGTCTCAAGGTGGGTTGCAGAAAACATGGCCCCACCAGTTCGCTTTTCCGGCATGAGGATTCAACAGTACCCACTGGGCAATTTTAAACTCACAGAGAGAGAATCAAGCTCCTGTCAACATTCTCAACACTGATTTCTTTCCTTGCCCTGGAAATACAGGGTGGGGCAAAAGTAGGTTTACAGTTGTTTGTATAGAAACTAATACAATAATTAATAAATAAGAATACAAGCATAAACTCTGTTTCACATACTCACAACTGTAAACCTACTTTTCCCCCACCCTGTATATGACTGTAGGTTAAGTGTCGTTATCATCTTTCAACTATTCACATATAAAACCTACCTCCTGGGTGAGTTAGCTCCGGATTGGTTCTAGATTAGTTCTCCCTCTTACCAAACACACTTCTATTCTATCACTGTCCTACCATCATAGGCCAAAGATGAGCATCCTGATTGTAACTCCAGCCCATGCAAATCTGTTGCCCTCACAGTCATTGCAAAGTGCCTACATTACGAATAAAAAGCAAATCATTGGGGTTCTGGGTAGTCCATGGACTTGAAGCAAACATTCATCATCAATTTCCCTTCTGTTTAAGGTTGGCCCCTCAGCCAGGGAACAAGTTCCACCCCCAGCTCTGGTACTGATGTAAGTTCTAAACTACAACCCAATTGGAAGTTTGGGTCTAACTATAAAGAAGATTTCTTTCAGAGCTGGAAAGCAATTCTGTATTTCATGCACTAAAAACGTAAATCCTACCCTTTTACCTGCAAAGACAAATATATAGCAAGTAGAAATATTTATAAGTATATGTACTTATGTATTTATACGTCATATATGTTCTATGTCTCCTGTTGGTTCTGCTTCTCTGAAGAGCCCTGACAAACACAACTGCCAAACTTAAAGTTCTCATAGGTGAATGTCCTTTTGTGTCCCAATGGAATCAAAGAGTACAAGCAATTCACCCAATGAACTATACAGCAGAATGTAGAGGCAGAAACAAAACGATACTTCTTACCTTTACAAGACAGCCACAGTGCTTAAAAGGACAGTCTTTTTCCGCTTCAGGACACACAGCAAGGTGTTCATCCACCTACAAAATGGACAGCCTCATGCTACAGAAATTCATCAGCGATTCTCCACTGCCTGGCGTAACTGTAGCAAGCAGGGGGCCGGTGCGGGGCTTGGGAAGAATGGCAGGGACAAGAGAAGGAAAAGGCCACGCTAGGGCCTGGCGGAGGGAGCGCTACGATGAAAACAGAATTCTCAGGAGAAGGGAAGGGAAGGCAGAGGCATGGTTATCATGGGGCCACTCAAGTCTTGGATCTTTGCCTAGGCGACCTCATCAGACACACACCGTCATGACTACTAAAAGTTTACCTTACATAACATCTCCTGAGAGAATTATTTATAGTTACCTCGGTTCTGGGAATAGTCTGCTGGCACCTGTTTGGACAACGTACTGGGTACTCGGGACACAGGTTTTCCTCATGATTCTGAAACAGAGAAAAGTGCGATGAAACAAAGCCACCCTTGCTTTCCAGGGTTCCCTTTCATGCCCTCAGAGTGTTTGCACACACATCTCTTTGGAGATCTATTTATACGGCTTACCATCTACAGGAAGGTATGGCTTAGTTCGAGAAAGGATTATATATAGGTGGCTGCTTTCTTGGTATCAGTGACTTCAATTCCATTCAATTTTCCAATTATTTCAAAAGAAGGTCAGAGGGCACAGGACTCATAGAGGGACAGCTGTGGGAGTCGTCAGCATGGCTCCTTTGGCGCAGGAGCAGGGTACCCATGCTCCGTTTTATGCCTACACGCCACCTCTCCATTTAGACCACAGCATCCCGATGACAGGCACTATCGGCCCCTCTTTGTGACCTGGCACTAGCATCACTCCTTGCATACTCGCCCTCAGTAGGTACTCAGATGATATTTTTGCCAATGATAAAAAGAACAGAGTCCTACCAACAAGAAGGCTTTTTGTTTTTTACAGAACTTCTCTCATGTAAAGTTATTCTTTAGACCTATTTCTACAAAAATAAATCCAGAAAGGTGCTTCTGATAGCCCATCCAAGTCACTGTGATCACTGAGGCAGATTTTAACCCCATAAAAGTGACAATTTTTTTTTACCTGTAGATTGATTACCAGTACATCCTTTTTGCAATAAAGGCATCTTTCCTCTCGAAACTCGCAGTATGCGCTCAAATGTTCTTTCAGGTGTTTCCGAAGGACTGTCTGCCCACAGTTCCCATTAGAACACCGCACAGCTTGAAACAAGCACTGCTGAAGGTGCTCCTGCAACAGACAACAGGGTGGGAGGGAGGCAGCTGCAAGGCGCAGTAAGAGCGCTAGGGGGCGCCAGGAGCCACGGTGGCCAGGGCTGAATGGACCAAGGCTATGAAAGCCAGCCTTACTTGGTGGGAGTTAGGAGGATGGGGGAAGATGGGTGAAGACGGTGGTATAATGAGTTTATTTTAGATTACCTAGGAACGTGCTCACATTCTCTGGTTAGTAACTGAATATTTTCCTTAGGCTTACCAATCAATTTACCAGCTCTTCAAAGGTATTTTTTATTTCTTTTGTGTACTCTTCATTCCCACTACCAGCACCAAGTACTAATCTCTGCAAAGCAGATGGTGAAAGCCAGGATAGGAGGGAAGAAGGAAGGGAAGGGATTAAAAGAAGAAAAGGGAAGGAGAGGAAGCTGGTCTAGAAGTGGTCAAGAAAAGGAGGAAGAGGAAACACAGGATCACAGAACCACAAGAAGGTAGGAATGGCCAGTCTTATAAGGTCAGGAGATGTTTTTAACTAGAATATAAGAGAATAACACCATAACCGGTATTCATTCTAGTTGTCTTCACATTACAGACTTATGAAAACAGGTATATTTTAATAAAACCTTTGAATGACTGTAATTTACTATAATTTTGACAAGTTAACAAGCTCCTAATTAACTTGTCTCCCTGAAAAATCCATTAAAACAGGGTTGGTAAGCTATGGCCCTTGGGCCAACCTGGACTGCTACTCATTTTTGTAAATAAAGTTTTATTGGAGAACATCCGCATACCTATTTGTTCACATATGGTCTATGACTGCTTTCCTTCTAAAATGGGAACATTCTGCCATTGTGACAGAGATCGTATGTCCTGCAAAACCTAAAATATTTTGTCTAACTCTTGACAGAAATGGTTTGCTGACCCCTTCTTTGAAGGAAAAAAAATAGCCAGCCAAGAATTTTTCTATGGGAGGTAAATATTATAGCTATTTTCTTTTGCCTCTGTAAGAAACAAATGGTGATGACAAATCACATCTTATTCACTTCTGCTCAAGATGGAGGCGTAGGTAAACACGCTTCGCCTCCTCTCACAACCACAGAAAGAATTACAACTAGACCTCAAAACAAGTAACACCCAGAACTGCCAGGGGTCAAGCTGTATATACCAAGGAGGTAAAAGACCTATACTCAGAGCCCTATACAATACTGAAGAAAGAAATTAAGGGAGACAGAAATAAATGGAAGCATATACCATGTTCATGGGTTGGAAGAATTAACATCATCAAAATGTCCATACTACCCAAAGCAATTTATAGATTTGATGCAACCCCTATTAAAATACCAATGATGTATTTCACAGATATAGAACATTTTAAAAATTTATATGGAATGATAAATGATCCTGTATAACTGTAGCAATTTTGAGAAAGAAGAACAAAGTAGGAGGGATCATGATACCTGATATCAAACTATATTACATGGCCACTGTAATCAAAACAGTCTGGTACTGGCATAAGAACAGATACAAATACCAATGGAACAGAAAAGATAGCCCAGAAATAAACCCATGTCTCTATGGTCAATTAATATTTGACAAAGGGTGCAAACGCATAAAATGGAGTAAAAATAGCCTCTTCAACAAATGGTGTTGGTAGATTTGGACAGCTACATGCAAAAAAAAAAAAAAAAAAAAAGGAACTTGACCACCAGCTTACACCATACACAAAAATAAATGCAAGGTGGATAAAATACTTAAATATAAGTTGCGACACCATAAAAGTCCTAGAGGAGAACATAGGCAGGGACATCTCAGATATTCCACGCAGTAATATTTTCACTGATATGTCCCCTAGAGCAAGGGACATAAAGGAAAGAATGAACAAATGGGACTTCATCAAAATAAAAAGCTTCTTCATGGCTAAAGAAAACATCAGTAAAGTGAAAAGGGAACCAACTGTATGGGAAAATATATTTGCAAATGATATCTCGACAAGAGTGTGATCTCCAAAATATATAAAGAATACACATGACTCCACTCCAGGAAGACAAAACAACCCAATTAAAAAATGGGCAAGGGACCTGAACAGATACTTCTCTAAGGAGGATATACAGAGGGCCCAGAGACATATGAAAGGATTTTCAACATCACTAGCCATCAGAGAGATGCAAATTCAAACCACAATGATACCACTTCATACCAGTCAGAATGGCCCTCAAACAAATCGAGAAACAACAAGAGCTGACGAGGTTGTAGAGAAAAGGGAACCCTAGTGCACTGTTGGTGCGAACGCAGACTGGTGCAGCCACTGTGGAAAATAGTATGTAATTTCCTCAGAAAACTAAAAATGGAACTGCTATTTGACCCAGCAATTCCACTGCTGGGATTATACACTAAGAAACCTGAAACACCTATTCAAAAGAACCTATATACCCCAATGTTCATAGCAGTACAATTTACAATAGCCAAGTGCTGGAAGCAACCTAAGTGCCCATCAGTAAACAAGTGGATTAAAAAAACCATGGTACATTTACACAACGGAATACTACAAAGCAGAAAGAAAGAAGGAGCTCCTACCCTTCGCGACAGCATGGATGGAACTGGAGAGCATTATGCTCAGTGAAATAAGCCAGGCGATGAAAGACAAATACCATATGATCTCACCTACAAGTGGAACCTAATCAACAAAACAAACAAGCAAGCAAAATATAACCAGAGACACTGAAATAAAGAAAAAACTGACACTAACCAGAGGGGAGAGGGGAGAGAGATAATGGGGGAAAATAGGGGAAGGGCCGTCAAGGAGCATGTATAAAGGACACATGGACAAAGCCAAAGGGGGTAGGTTTGAGGGCAGGAGGCAGGGATGGGTGGGGAGGGGTGGAGAAGTTGGGGAGAAATGGAGACAGCTGTATTTGAACAACAATAAAAAAGAAAATCAAGCTGTATGGAGGTCTAACAACCCAGGATTTAAAGAAGCCACATTCATCCAGATGGGTAAGAGGGGACGGGCAGAATCATGGAGACAAGGTGTCACAGAGAGGAGGCGGCAGCAGAATGGGTGGTCCCACATTCAGGTGTGGTGGATAAAAATCAGGAGGGATACGTTGGGAGTGAGCGATCCCAGCCCCAGGCCAGACCGCACAGTCCAGGGTTCCAGCACCAGGACGGTAAACCCCTATAACCTCTGGCTGTAAAAATCAGTCGTGGTTGGGGCAGTGGAAGAAACTGGAGGATTTTCAGGAGACTCAGCTTAAAGGGCACACAGATTTAAAATGTATACAGACCCACCCTCTCTGAGATTCAGCACCAGGGCAACAGCTGAAAGGGAACTAGTCACACAGGGTGAGCGCCAGGCACACCTCCAGAAGCCAGGCAGCAGCACTGTCTCCTCTCTGAACCCTCCTCCCACACAGAAGGACAAAGCCATGAAGTGAGTGGCCCCACCTTGGTGATTACCTAAGGCTCCACCCCACACAACTTACGGGTGCCTTTTCTACAATAGGTCATGCTGCTAAGACAGGAAGTCAAAGCAGCTCTACCTAATACACAGACACAAACACAGCAAAGCTCCAAATTGAGGAGACAAAGAAATATGGCCCAAATGAAACAGCAGAACAGATCTCCTGGAAAAAGAGCTAAGCAAAACGGAGATAACCAACCTATCAGATGCAGAATACAAAATACTGGTGATCAGGATGATCAAAGAATTCATTGAGTACAGCAACAAAATAAAAAAGACCCAGGAAGAAATGAAGGTTACACTAGGTGAAATAAAAGAAAATCTAAAGGGAACCAGCAGCGGAGGGGATGAAGCCAGGCTTTAAAAAAAACAAGGATAGTATAAGGTTCCTTTGGGACATATCCAAACATACCAACATCCAAATTACAGGGATGCCAGAGAAGAGGAGGAGCAAGAAATCAAAAACTTATCTGAAAAAATAATGAAAAAAACCCCAAATTTCCCTAATTTGATGAAGGAAATAGACATACAGGTCAGGAAGCACACAGAGTCCCAAGCAAGTTGGACCCAAAGAGAACCACACCAAGACACATCATAATTACAAGGCCAAAGGTTAAACATAAAGAGGGAATCTTAAAAGCAGCAAGAGAATAGCAGAGTTACCCAGAAAGGACTTCCTGTAAGACTGATTTCTCAAGGGAAACTTTGCAGGCAAGAAGGGACTGGCAAGAAGTACTCAAAGTGATGAAGAGCAAGGACCTACAACCTAGATTCCTCTATCCAGCAAAGCTATCTTTTAGAATCAAAGGGCAGATAAAGAGCTTCCCAGACAAGGTAAAGCTAAAGGATTTCATCATCACCGAGCCATTACTACATGAAATGTTAAAGGGACTTAAGAAAAAGATGAAGATCAAAACTATGAATATTAAAATGGCAACAAATTCACAAATATCAGTAACTTAATCTAAAAAAAAAAAACCCAAACAAACCTAAGCAAACAAGAACAGGAACAGAATCATAGATATAGAGATCACTTGGAAGGTTATCAGCTGGGAGCGGGAAGGGGGAAGAACAGGGGGGAAAGGTACAGGGATTAATAAGCATAATTGGTAGATACAAAATAGACGGGGGAACATTAAGAATAGTATAGGAAATGGAGAAACCAAAGAACTTACGTGCATGACCCACGGACATGAACTTAGCGGCGGGGGTGGGACTGCAGGAAGGAAGGGGGGTACCATGTGGAGGAGGTCAAAAGGGGAAAAACTGGCACAACTGTGATAGCGTAATCAATAAAATATATTTTTAAAAAATCCACGTCTTACTCAAACTGCATTGATGTTACTCTCAACTCACCCAAAAAGTCAGCCATCATCCAGGCTACTACCTGGGAGATCTCACCCCTTATCACGCAAGCTGGGGAGAACAGCCAAAGACACAGGTGCGAAGAAACCAGCCACTGCTCCCTACGAGCCGATATCTGGTCACCAAAGCCTCATTTCCTTTCCAGGCTTAGTGGCAACAACACAGATGGCACAGAGGCCCTGCTCTGGGACCTGACTATTAGAACCAATGGCCAGCCTGGGGCTGTTACAGGAAAACACAACAAAGTTCTGTGAACCTCCAAAGAACTCCCTGGGTTAACAAGGAAGTCATTTACACATTTATAAGCTTGGCCCCTGGGGAGCTTGGAGGCACGATGGAGAAAAGACTGAATCACCTGAAATTTGTTCCCAAATGCGTGGGTGGCAGCGGAAAATCTCAGCAGCGTCCAAGCAATTCCCTGAAAGCTTGACATGCCTGAGTCTTATTCATTCGTGGTGTGATCAGACCTGATACGGGCCTGCCATGGCAGAGCCACAGTCCCAGCCTTAAATGTCACAGGCTTCCCACGCTGGATGGAAGAGCCAGGCAGGGCAGCCTCATTTGAGAGAAAGCTGACTCCCTTCATTTCCCCTGTACCTTGTTCGCTTGCATCTCATAACAATGCTTCACCTTTCAACTCCATCCTAATCTCTGTTCTGATCTGGTATCTGCTTTAGATTATAAACTCTAATAAGAGGCCAGGGGCCCCTCCACCCCCAGTATCTGCGAATGCTTTCGGGAAGTCATATCTTGGCTCCCACCCTAGGGACCCCAAATCCTTCCCAGTTCCCCCCAAATGACACGTCCTTGCATAAACGCTCCTTTTGCCCAGGGTGTCTCACATCTTCACTTTTGGGTCAATGCCCTTAACCCACAGTTTTAGGTCTAGCACAGGCTCCCTGTCTTCCAGGCAGAGCAAACCCCTTCACTCACGCCTTAGCCCTTGGCATGTGGTGCTGCAGAATTTCTAGACAGGAATTCTCTGAGGGCATCCCAACGGACCTCTCATGCTTAGCTCTGTAACTCTCACAAAAAGGTGTCCAGCATCCGTCACTGGAAATTGGCCAAGGCAAATATTGTTTGTGAGTAATACCAACCTGGTATCGTCCCAGAATAATCTTGGCATTACATCCAGGAGCATTTTTGCAATATACATATAAATTGAGGACTTCCCTTTTGCAGCAATTGTCTTTAAACACCTGAAAGATAAACATGATAGGTCTCACACCAAAGCTTTAGAGCAACGTGAATAAAGATAATATTAATTTGGTCTTCAGATACATCTCAGAAGTGGGGTGAAAACTTCCAGACAGCGGTTGGAATGGATATACCAGATTCGCCACCATAAAAGGAAAAACTGTCTCAGATACATGCTTCTGACAGGTCACTAAACATACAAGCCAGGTAATTCAACGTCCAGAGCGGTAGGCTGCAGCGAGGAGAATCTCATGGTGAACTTGACCCCACATGCTCACTGGTCAAGAAGTGAGTTTGTGGCTAAGGGTGGCGCTTTTAGCTTTCTGTCCCAGCAGAAAGATTCGTATCCGGTGGTGTCACTGAAGCTGTGCAGACTTGCTATTTTGGCACAAATCAGGGGTTGGCAGACTTTCTCCATAAAGGGTCAGAGAGCAAATACTTTTGGCTCTGCAGACCATGTTGCAATGGTCTCTGTTGCAACTATTCAATTCTGCTGTACATGACACTTCAGTGAATGGGCCTGGCTGTGTTCCAATACCATGGTATTTATCAACACTGAAATATAATTTTCACGTCGCAAAATATTATTAAAAATTTTTATTTTGAAATAGTTTAAGACTCACAAGAAGTTGCAAAAATAGTACAGAGTTTCTGTGTGTCCTTCTTTTCATTTTTTCCCAATTATTTAAAAATATAAAAACCATCCTTAGCTCACAGGCCACACAAAAACACAGAATTCTGTCCCAGCAAATGTTGGGTGTCCAGCCCATCCAGCAACCCCGTGCTGCAATGTGCCAATGCCTGGCCTTGCGGGGGAGGCAGACACAAGCACGGCACTGTGCTCTGAGAGGGCATTTCAGACTGCGGCGCAGGAGCACAGAGAAGGACGTGTGTATCAGACAGGCACTCGGAGAGCTTCCTGGAGGAGGTGATGCTAGAAGCTCTTATGGCAGAGTGTTAAAGGATGAAAACAGCTTATAAGGATGTTTAAACGGAGAAAATCTTCATGGCCATGGCTTAGGTGAGGGTTTCTTGGCTACAACACTAAAGAGCAAGCGGCCAAACAAAATATGAAGAAGATTTTGTCAAAATGAAAGGCTTTTGTGCTTCAAAGGAAGCTATTAAGAAAGTGGAAAGACAACCGCACAGAAGGGGAGAAAAATATTTGTGAATCATATGTTTGATAAGAGATTTGTATCCAGGATATATAAAGAGCTCGTAGAACTCAACAACAAAAGACAAATAATCTACTGAAAAAATGAGCATGGGATTTGAATAGGCATTTTTTTTTTTTTTTTTTTTACAAAGAACACAGACAAATGGCCAAGCACATGAAAAATGCTCAGTATCATTAATCATTAGAGAAATGCAAATCAAAACCACAAGATACCTCTTCATACCCATGAGGAAGGCTATCATCAAAAAGGTGGACAATAACAAATTCTGGCCAGGATTAGCAGATATTAGCACCCCCATGCGTTGCTGGTAGTAGGATAAAATGGTGTGGCTGCTTGGGAAAATAGCCTGGCCGGTCCTGAGAATGTTAAATGCAGAGTTACCATACGACCCAGTAATTCCACCCCTACGCACATACCCAAGGAACATGTATACTTTAAAAATAAATTTTATGCCATAGGAATTATATCTCAGTAGGCTATTATTAGACACAATAATAACAATAGGAAGTTTAGGGATTAACCCGATGAGAAAGAGAATTACAGGAAACAGGACGTTTCACTTCTCCATGTGACTCGGCTGTAGTGCAGGAAGAGGGTAAGGACGAAGAGGAAGGAGAAACCTGAGGAGTCAGTAAAGATCCAAACAGGCCCCTGTGGAACAGCAGCAGGAGTGAGGTCTGTCCTGACCCCGTGGCAGAGGAACGTGGACTCCAGGGAAGGTCCCCCTCCCACGCTCCTGCTCCAACCTCGATGTCCAATCAGGACACTGGCTTCTCTATCACCTAGAGAGCTGTTAAACCAAAGCAGTGATTTTCTTACCTCCTGAGATTTGATAACCTCCTTATCCACAGGGCAGAGCGGTACCGTATTTAATTCTCTGGAGAGAAAAATGAAAATAGAGCCATAATGAAGAGTTGACCTCAACGGCTCTTCCAAGAGCAGCCCCAGCACCCCTGCGGCACTCGACCCCTCTGAACTGCCCCGGAGCAGCCCAGGCCCTGTCTTTACTCCTGCGATGTCCTTCTCCCAGAAGGCCCCCTGGAACCCCAGGCTCAGCACCTCTGCAGTCTGCCTGGAAAACTCCCATCATCACCTAGGACGCAAGTCAAATAGGAGCCCGCCAGACAGAGTTAAATGTCCCCTGCCAGTGCCCCCTCAGCAGTCCTTTGCTTATCACACTGTACCACGACCTGTCTGCTCCATGAGTCAGGAATGTTCTAGAAGGCAGAGACTGGGTCCTGTTTCACAATGGACCTCTAGCTCTTCAACTCTGGACACTAGAGCTTAATTTAACAAGGTGTCTGGAGCACACAGGTAGTGAATGGATGAACCCATGAATGAATGGGAATTGCCCTGATAACCCCCTTCCTAGGCTTGGGGTCCTTACTGCCCCTGGATAAGCTCCAAATGCCTGCTTTTCTGTCCTCCCTGGTCTCCTCACTCAGCGTGGCACGGCCGAGGGTTTACAGCCACCCCGGAGTGAACCGCGCCCGTGGCGGCGAGTGCCCGTGGCGGTGGGGGCTGCAACACCACCTCTGCCTAACAGCAAGGAAAGGTTCCGGGGGACTCTACAAACGAAGACCCCTGGGAGATATGGGTCCTGCCCGACACAGACTGCTTCTAGGTTTGCCCTTACATGCAAAACAGGTGTGGTCTGAACTTTAACAAAAGGTCAAAATCAGTAAGTGAGCGGCACACAATAAAGATCACTCCTCAGGGTCTCAGAGAAGGGCGCTGGGAGAGCCCTTCCTCCTCTTCGTGGTTCTGTGGCCAACTGCAGTGATTCCAAAACCACGATCACAGTTGGGTGGCCGCAGCTGACATTCAGATCCCAGGGCATGGCCCTCTGGCTCTGGCTGCTGTGGTTGGAGCTGACCTGCCCACTTACCTCAGGGACAGGATGCAGTTCTGGCAGAATCGGTGCCCGCAACCCGTCTGGTGGGGGTTGTGAAGCACTGAGTGACAGAAGGCACATTTGTATCGCTCTTCTAATGGCTCCACGAATAGGTACTCTGTGTTGGGCTCAAAGTCCAAGGAGATGGAGTTGCCGGAATTCTGGCGGATGAAACCACAGGGGCTGCCTCCTTGCTCCTCAGAATAAGCCATTCTGGGGGAGGGGGGAGGCAGGAGGCCAGAAGGAAAGTTAGGTGTGCACATACCGAAACAACTACAAGCATCGGCCTTTTAATTACTGAACATTGCTCACAGTCACTCCTTATGGCCTTGGGACAACAGGGACAACCTCCTGCCACTGGAGGGCGCCCGCAGAGGGGAAACACCTCCTGTCTGCAGGCGAGATTCTAGGAGGCTTCAATCTAGAAGGTCATCCATCGACCTGTCAGTTTGGCCACATGCTTGGACAAAATCTAGCCAGGTGTTAACTACATTCTAAGCAAACTCTTGTTACAAATTTTCTTCCACTCTGTTGAGAGAAGTGGAGCAAATGTTTTGTTAACATTTTTCAGAGGCAAGAACCATGCGCACGCACACATTCCTAGCAGTTCACAGCAACTGTGAACTCACTGAAAAGTGCTGGAAATTGCCCCAAGTGCCGCAACACAATGCATAACAAAAGCGATTTTACTGTAGGCCAATTGATACGAACAAGAGTTTAAGTTCTTAGGGCACCTCAGCAACGTTTAAACAAAAATGTCATTAAACAAAAGTTATTCAAGGACCTGCTGCACATAGTGAAAGCACCACCACCAACCCACATCATTTCTCACCTGCCCTAAGTAAGAACCCGTTAACTGCTTTCTCCTCCAATCCCTTCTCCATACAATAGCCAGGGTGATATTTTCAAAAATCCAAGTGTGATGGATGGTTATTTCCCCTCATCTTTCAGTGGCTCCCCAGGGTTCCTAGGGGAAACGTCATAATGCCGAGCAGGCTGCAAGAGTGCATTTCCCCCCACCGCCCGCCCCCTCAACAGCACCCTGGACTTCTCCCTCCCTTGCTTTCTGCCTTCCAGCCTCAGGCTTTTAGTTCTTCTAATACACCATGCAGTCCCCGGCCGCGGGGCCTTGGCACAAGCTCTTGCCTCTGTCAGGAGTGCTTCCCCTAACCTTTTCCAGTCCCCTTCACTTAGTTAACTCACATTCACATTTCAAATTTTACTTCAGGCTTCATATTCTCCGGTAGGCTTGCTCTTCTCCCTCTGGTCTAATAGCAGGAGGCCCACTGACCAGGCCGGAGAACATGCATGGCCTCCAGGGAGTGGCTGGGGACGGGGTGGGCGGGGGAGAGGGTTTCACTGAACAATCCTTTTGAATTTAACATGAATGCATTAGCTACTAAAAAATAAATAAACATATAAAACCAACAACTAAACGCCCACTGTTCTATCTGTCATAAAACCGGGTTCCTTTCCGTCATAGCAACCCTTGATTTGAAACATGACATGTGTTTGTGGGATTACCTGACTAATATCTGTGTTCCCCGGTGACACACAGATGGCATTTGGTCTTGCTCACTGTTGCATCTCCAGCCCTTAGCACTGAGCCAGGCATGGAGAACAACTCAGCAACTTGTTGAATGGACGTTACTGAATGGACTTTTTGAAAACCCTCAACAGGGCGACTATAACGACTGTTGACCTCTAACATCGTGACTCTTAACCTGCTTTTGAGAAAGAACTTCCTCCTGCCTTTGAAAATTTGATGAAAACTCTAGACCTTCTCCCTGTACCACAACACTCATGCCTGACGTCTGGACCTTTAGGGACCCTCTGAACCGCCCATGTCCCCCAGGTTGATAAAAGCTCTGCCTCCCCTGCAGGAGTGCTGTTACTTCTGGCAACAGTGCCAGGAGTGGGGCCTGGGATGTGTCTGACAATGGCTGATAGATGGGCAGCCATCTGGGGTGGTCGCTTGGGGAGATGTACTTCCCCTGGCTGGGGTACAGGAAGGCCTGGCCGCAGGCTTGCTCGTTGGCTTTGGCTTGCTCTTGGGATCCCTCATGATTCTCTTGCAGCTGATGAGGTCAACTGACCCCACTCAATCGTCAGCTCAGCTCAAGTCAGCAGCTGGCCCGTCTCACTGCGGGAGTGATCTGAGGCTGGGGTGTGGCCTGGGCGAAGCGAGCCGAGAGAGCAGCTGGCCTTTTACAGCAAAGAAAGCTTTCTCTTTGGAGGAGTCCAGCAGACAAGGGAGACATATATTCTTTTGTCCTGGGGTTTCTGACTAAAGCCCCATCTTTTCTTTGTGTATGTTTCCTGAAGAACTTCAAGGGTGATAGATGATCAGTACAAGATGTGATTGTTCCCCTTTTTAACACGGCTTACTCTTGAGATTTAGTAAGTTTTAGTTATGAAGCCCAACAAGCGTAGCACTTGAGTTGCGTGCACAACCCTAACAACAAAGACCCACTTTTTCTCAGGGAAGTGAAGACCAATTCCAAACGGCCCTAATGTGCCCCGTGTTCTCTAGTCCCAAAGGAGGTTGACAATTCACGTCCTGTGCTTCTCTGGGATTCTCTCCCGAGACAAGGCTCATATCTGTGTCACACGGCACCTAAATTCGGACTCAGAGATGTACCCTAAAGCAACAGGCTCATTTGGCCCCCAGAACAGGGCAGTAGGATATACAAAATTCAGTTCGGTTTTCCCTTGGCTACACTCTATCCTCTTTCCTAGCCCAGGAATTTAATGCACTCATATATGTGCCTGTCCATCTTTCTCTACAACAGCAGTTCTCAATCTTTTTGATATCAGGACCCCACCTTTAGACTTTTAATAATTGAGGACCCAAAGACCCAGAATAGCCAGCTCAATAGATAAGATGTAGAACAAGCCCTGGCTAGTGTGGCTCACTTGGTTGGAGTGTCGCCCTGTAAACCAGAAGTTGGCGGGTTTTGATTCCTGGTCAGAGCACATGCCTGGGTTGTAGGTCTGGTCACTGATTTGGGCGCATACAGGAGGCAACTGATCAATGTTTCTCTCCCTCTCTCTCTTCCTCCCTTTCCCTCTCTCTAAAATCAATATGCATCCCCTCGGGTGAGAACAAAAAGATATACAAAGAAAGTAAATTTTTTAAGAAGACGTAGAACTAAATTGGAAGACTGACACCATCAACTTCAAGACTTTCTATAAAGTTACGATAATCAAGACAAGCGTGGTATTGGTAAAAAGCACCAAAAGACAGGTAAATCAACAGAACAAAATAGAGAGCCCAGAAATAGATCCATATAAATACTGATCTCCAACACAGGAGCAAAGGCAATGCAACAAACAAAGACAGTCTTTCCACAAACGGTGCTGGAAAAACTGTGAATACACACACACACACACACACACACACACACACACGAATCTAGACACAGAGTTTATACCCATCACAAAAATTAATTCAAAATGGATCACAGACTTAAATGGAAAACACAAACCTATTAAACTCCTAGAAAATAACAGGAGAAAAAAACTAGATAAACTTGGGTTTGACAATAACTTTTTAGATATAACACCAAGGGCATAATACATGAAAGAATTGATAAGCTGAACTTCATTAAAATTAAAAATTTCTGCTCTGTGAGAGATACCATCAAGAGAATGAGAAGCTATGCCAGAGATTGGGAGAAATTATTTGCAAAAAATATATCTGATAAAGGAATATTATCCAAAATATACCTCACCAAAGAAAATACACATGTGGCAAATAAGCATACGAAAAGGTCTTTCACATCATGTCATCTGAGAAATGCAAAATAAAACAACAATGAGGTCCGCCTATACACCTGTTAGAATGGCCAAAATCCAGAACACTCGTAAGGATGTGTAACAACAGTTGGTGCTCCTCTTCCCCCTCGCTTTTCCCCCTCCTCCTTCTTTTTTTTTTTTGGTAAATATAAGCACACCTTGTTTTACTGAACTTCACTTTTTTTCACTTCACAGATATTCCATTTTCATCAACATTGAGACAAGACATCCACCAGCAAAAAGATTAAGATTTACTGAGGGCACAGGTGATGTCAGCATTTTTTAGCAATAAAGTATTTTTAATTAAAGCATGAGCAACAGGTACTCTAATACATCGCTGGTAGGAATGCAACACTTTGGAAGACAGTTTGGTGGTTTCCTACAAACATATTCTTACCATCTGACCCAGCAATCACACTCTTTAGTGTTTACCTAAGAAAAGTGGGAAACTTATGTCCACATAAAACTCTGCGCACAAATGTTTATAGGAGCTTTATTCACCATGGCCAAAACTTACACGTAATCAAGGTATGAATGGATAAAGTGTACTACATCCAGACAATGCAACATTATTCAGCACTAAAAAGAAACTGAGCAATCAAGCTATGAAAAAACCATGGAGGAATCTTCAGTGCATGCATATAACTAAGTGAATGAAGCCAATCTGAAAAGAGTATATACTGACTGTATGACTCCAACTATAAGACACCTGAGAAAAGGCAAAAAGACGGAGGTGGAATAAAGATCAGTGGTTGCTAGGGGTTAGGATGGAGGGAGGAAGAGATGAACGAGTGGATCACTGAGGGTTTTCAGGGCAATGAAACTACTCTGTAAAATGCTATCGTGGTGGACACATGTCATTACACATTTGTCCAAACCCACAGAAGAGTTAGTTTCCAACTTTTTGATCTCATGGTACACATAAACTAATTACTAAAATTCTGTGGCATACCAAAAAAATATATTTTTTGACAACTTGACAAAAAATAGGTGTAATGTTGATTTGTTCACACTGGACACCTACCGTTGTATTGGCAGTTATTTTTTTCTTTGACAATCTAAGTGAAAAGAGGTCAGTGCCCCGACTAAATAGTCAGATATGCAGGTTTTAAAGATTCTTGTGGCACCCCAGTGTGCCCTGCGCAGCACACTGGTCAAAAACTGCTGCCATGGAATGCAAGAGTGAAACCTAATGTAAACTATGGACTCTGATGATAATGATATGTCAAAAGAAGGGTAGCAGACTATGCCCCCCCAAAGATAACTAGGAACTCAGGACATGCCACCCCAAAATATGCTGCATTAGTGTATTAATTATTTTGAATTGTAGACAGTTGAAAAATAACAAATACAGGAAGTGGCTTTCTCTGAACATCTTTTCTGCCTAAAGACAAGTCCTTCTCCAAAAGGAACTC